GGGAAGGGAAGGGAAGGGAAGGAAAAGGAAAACAAGGAAAAAAGAAAAAAGGACCAAGGAAATATATCGCAAGGTTATACGGATACTTGTCCCAGTTACCCGTACTTTTTTTTCTTTTGCTTGTACTTCCCCGCACTCTGCGCAGATGCGCACCTTTTCTATCACTCCTGGTTTTCATATGTTTTTTTTCCCTCCTACTTTATCTGCCGGTGTGCGTCTTGGCCACGGCGAGGACACGTGTCCTCTTATGCCCTATTGAGTTCTCCCCTCGCCCCGCTCTCACGCGGTTTATCCCGTTTTTGACCCTCCGCACTGGTGTGAGCGTAGATAGATACAGATACAGCAGGATCTGGGCGCGTAGGATTGCACTGCCGATGCTCGGCCTATCCGGTGTTCAGCAGCCGCCGCACCCGCAGCAGGCTTCTCGTGCAAAGGCGCGGAGGTGCCTTTACTGCCAGCAGCAGGGATGCCAGGGGCTAAGGAGCTGTTGGTGGCCGCGCCTTCAGTCTTCCGCGTCGCGGTTCCACCGCGAAGCGGCGGCTGGTCTCCCACGGCATCTCTGGGATGGTGAGGTCAACAGCGAGCAGGAGCCCGTAAGCGCCATTGAAGAAAACCTGCGGACACAAATACGTGTCTTGGAGCGTGAAGTGGAGCTGCTCCGCACTGGCCTCCAACAGCTTTCGTCTATCAATCGTCGCGGCAGGACTGACGTCGCCACAATGACCTCCTCCGAGCTTACTCTCCCCCAGGCGCCCTCCTCCTCTCTCTCCTGCGGTCACAATGTCGCGGGTAGTGGCAGCGATGTTCCCTTGCCGAAACGCGCTGTCGCTCCTCCCTGGTCTGGTGGCGGCTTGCAACCGCCGCCGCTGCAGGAGCAGCTGCAGCTGCAGCATAAAGCCGTACACGAGGCGTTTCATGTCAACTCTTCCCACTCGCAAGGAATATCGGAAGCGGCGGGGGCGCCTGTGGCAAGCGTGTCTGCCCCACCGCCGCTCCAAGGAAGCGCAGTGGCAAACGACGTGGAGGAACTGAAACCGCTTGTGTGGGAGTTGACTGCCCAGAACGCCTCACTCCGCAGACAACTTGCGGAGATGAAGGTTGTTGTGGAGCAGCGTGACGCACTTCTGCGGTCCATTCTGGTGGAGGGACCTGCGTCCTACGCCGCGCCCGCCTCGTCGCCGGCGCAAGCTTCTGCCGTTTCTCCACGGTTCAGACAGGTGAAGGAATTGTTGTCGCAGCTGCTACAGGCGCAAGAGGAGTTGGCCCGTCTTCGGGAAGAGGCGCGGCAATGGAAGGCCATACCAGAGCGTTTTGAGGAGAATCCGCAAGGCGACAAAGCTTTGGTAGAGGGGCTTCGACGACAGCCTCGGCAATTTGCGCCCCCGTCGCAGGAGCATAGTGCCGCTGCTTCTACCGCCAATACCAATGCGGCATCCACGCCGTCCATGCAGGCGACCCACGCAAGTGATCCTGTGCACCCCACTATAGCGGCAGTCGGGGCGGAAGCCAAGAACACAGGGCCCACCGTCCGTGTCGAGGATGCTTTTGCCTCGGCGCCAAAAGAAAGGACGGCAACAGAAGCGACGCCCCTGACAGCGGAGCTGCGTGAGCTTCAAGAGCGCTTGGCAGCGGCGGAGCGGAAGGTGCTCGCGTGGGAAACGTGGTATAGGCAGCATATGCAGCGGCCATCGTGTAAGGATAGGGAGTCACAGACAAAGGCAGGGGACGCAGCTGCGGATGCACGCGAGGGAGGCACGGCGCCAATGAACCCGAAACCGCCACAGCAGCCATTCAAAGTGTTGCTTCGTGCTTTGCCTGTCGCTGACCCAACACGCTACGTAAACCTGGATAGTCTTCCCTCGTGGCAGCAACAAACGGTGTCAGACGCATTGGCAATCGACACTTATGCCCTCATGGCACGGGAGGCCGCCCTGCGTCAGGTGGCGGAACAGGAACGGGCCGAACTCCTGGCCGCACTCAGCATGGAGAGTGTAACCGACATGGACCAGGATGAGTGAGAGGGTTAGGTGTTTGGGCCACATCCATAGAAAGTAGAGAGTGGAGGGGGGACTCTTCACATCTGCAACATGTGAGAGTGTCGAAATGTGTTTATATATACATTCCTGTGTGTGTTTGATTGTTTGTTTGTATTTTGGGGGAAATTGTTTGAGTGTAGTTTATTGGTTGAGTATTGTTATTATTGTTGTTTTCCCTTTTTTCCCCTTCTTTCCTCCCGCACCCGCATAACCAAATGCATCTGTCCGTGGTGTCTGCTGAGGCGCTGCCGCTGCCGCTGTAGGGAATAAAAAGGCGCAGAGAGTCGAGGCTAATAGGCCTCGCTCGCCAAATTCAATGTCGTCCGCCTCACCAGTGTCGAGCCGGAGCACATATGATGAGGAGACGGAGTATCTGATGAACCCTGCGGCTAACGCCTCGCAAGCCTGCGAAACACGACGTCAGACGACAACGGAGTTGATGATGCAGCAACAAGCACAGACGCTCTACACCGCGAACGGCGCCGTGACGGAAGGGATGACGATGGGGCACGCCGTTCGCGTCCCTCAGGCGCTGCAGGCGGCTACACGGCGCACGATGCTTGACGTGCTCACGCAGCTGCGGCGCCAGAAAGAGAACGCCGTGGTGAGCTGCGCTGGAGCATCTCTTGCCGTGAGGCCCTCACACAACACACGGACAGAACTTGACAGCCGTGGCTCTATGACTGCCACGGATGCGGCGGCCCCTCCCCTTCTTCCTGGTACAACTCAGGTGGAAGTAAACGACGCGAGCATACTTCAGCCAGATCTTAGTCGAAGCCTGCGGCATCTTATGCCTTCTCACCGCGCTTTGCCAGGAGGATTGAAAGGGCAACACGAGCAAAGTATGAATGAAGACAGCATCTCTGACTTTGACGATGACAGCGATGTTGGTGGGGGCCCAGAGCAACTGCCGCAACGGAGCTCCTTGGAAAGACTTGCTGCATCCGGTCGTTCGCCGCAACGACCCTCCTGGGCTTCTGCGGTCTCTGAGGAGAGTACGAGACGGCATACAGAGCATCAGCGGAACTGGGTGAAACTCTTTGCTTCTGATGATCCACAGCAAGGGGAAGTGGACGGGGATGCAGAGCTAAACACTGCGATGCCGGCGGCGAAGGCCACATCTGCTCCTCGCACTTCCACGAAATCCCATCGCCGGAGTGCAGGTTCATTTCAGTCTCTTTGGACAGAAGCTGAGGACGAGTCGCGACAAACAACGGGCAGCCGCACATCGCTTGCAACTCTACTCAACGAGGCAGAGGCCCGAGATGAAGAGGCTTGTGCCCAGCCTGTAACTAACGCCGGTTGTGCCTCAACTGCCTATGAGAGGTTGCGCCGGTTCACAGATGTTTTGGATGCAGAGGAGGCCGAAGACACTCGTGTGGCTTCCCGCCATTCTCTTGGGAAGCCCGCGTTTCTTACGATGCTTCCCAGAAATGGCGGTGGTGCGTCGGTGTCAGCTGCCTTTGCAGTGTTGCAAGGCGCCGCAAAGAGGGTTGGTGGACGTGGGGGAACAAACGCGGTACTGAAGCAACTGTCAGAGAATCCGACATCGGCACGCGTTGTTGCATACCTGACGCGCTCCTTTGAGGATTGGAAGCTAGATGCCGCCCTCATTCGCCGCGTAGACGAAGACGACGAGCCGCACAAGTTATCCTCCTCTGGTCCTATTTCGCTTGCGTCAAGCGGTGTGCAGCTCAAATTACTTGTGAAGGTGGTGGAGAGTGCCTTTTCTCTCTACTGTTTACGATGCGAGGTGGTCTGGGCAGATGCGCAAACGTCAAAGGAGCTTTCATGCGCCGCACATGTGGCGGAGGTTATCCAGTCCGTACGGGAGGCGCGGGGCGGAGTGCAGGAAGCAGAAGTTGAAGAGGGGGCAGGGCACCGTGTTCCAATCGCACCGGCGACATGGACGGTCGTTCTGACGACGGCCGCATTTCGCTCCATCCCAGTCGTCGTGGGGAGGCATCTTTATTTGGCAAGGCCGTTTTTTTCCTACCCTGCCATCCGCGCCATCGTTGCCTCGCTCAACGTTACGTCGGACGCGGCCGTGCAAAGGGTGCAGCCGACAACCCACCGCCAGCGTCGTCCACGCGACGCGGACGCGTCGGAGGCGCAAACCGGCGCTTGCGCCCCAAGTGGCGATCCCTGCGGCGAGGAAATATCGGTTGGTGCCACAACGCCGGAGCGAGCCAGTAGGCCGTCTGCATCGTTGGCGGCTGTCTCGCCGTTCCGGGCGTATGACCCGTTCGTCAACCCACCGATAAATTTGTTTCGCAAAACCTCGGCTGCTTTGGGCTCCTCAGCGACGATGTCGCAGGGGGCCCTGCAGCGGTCGTGTTCCACCCCGCGAAAGACCACAGTGAACTTGGGCGGTGACGCCCGCGGCCAACTCGTGGCGTCTCGGTCGCAGGTGGTGGTTTCTGACCCCATCGGGACGCACTTCCCCCGCGGCCCCGGTGAGGAGTGGGACGTGCCACTGGAGGTGCTCCTGGCGCTGTGCCCACCGCGGAAGCGGAAAAGCTCCAGCGCGGCAGGGACGGGCGGCGGGGCGGAGAAGAATACGTCTGTGACACCGGGAGGGATCCGCAACGGAGCTTTGTCCCCCGCTCTCTCCTCCCCCTCTTCGATTGAGGTTGAAGAGCTTTCGCCTTCACTGAAGCCCAAACGAGAGGGGGGGAGCCGCTGCGACAGAATCCTTTTCAGTGATTAGCGAAGATTGGTGGTGGTGGTGGGAACTGCTTTTATGCTCTAGTTGACGCTCGGCTGTTGTTGCCGGCAGCCCAACGAGGGTGTCGTGTATAGAATACAACAAGAGGATGCCTTTAGGGCGGGGCGTGTATGGCCACATTTCTCCTCTGCGCCGCGACTCTCTCTCGGTTTCTTTCTGGTTTCTTATCGTCTGTTTTGGGGAAGAGACCCTCCCGGGACGCACAGAAGCAGAAGTCACGCAAAAGAGAAAGAGCGCACCTGCAATGAGTGTGCGTGGGGAGGAGGATATGGTGCTCAGCACAAGTGTGCTGCGGCTCCCACGGCAGTATGACGCATCCGACTTCCTGCAGGCGTGTTCACTCAAAGAGCAGTATCGGATTCTTGCAAGCATCTGTCGTAGTGAGAGCCACCACCCGTTGCGGTGTTCAGCAGGCGACGGCGGCAGCAACAGCAGCAGCACACGCCGCGGCGACGGTTGCGTGAATGCCACCGAGAAAGCTGAGCAGCAGCAGCAGCAGCAGCATGATGGCGTCTCCGACGTTTATTACTCCGCTCGCCTGCTTGCCTTCATAAGTGGTTGTGGGCAAGAAACAGGGACGCTGAATGTGCTCAAGAAGGAGCACCTCCGGCAACATCGGCAGAGGGAGCAGGAAGAAGCCGAGGCGGCCGAGCGCGCACGACTTGCGCAAGAAGCAGCAGCAGCGGCAGAAGCGGACGGAGAGGAAGCGGCCAACCAGGAGATTTGGTACGACGAAGAGGGTGGCTACTACTACGACAGCTATGGCTACTACGATGAGGAAGGGAACTATTACTACTTTGAAGGAGCGGATCCGGGAGAGCAGGCGGGACAAGAGGTGGAGGTGGCAAACAAAGAAACTGGTGCACAAGCCCAGGAAGCAGAAAGCGAAGGTGTGGCGTGTGAATTTCAAGGCGAGTCGGAAGCGGAGCCGCCCTCGTGTTGCGAAGATGCCTTTGCGACTGAATTGTCTCACAGCGTGAGCGATGACGCGGAGGCGGAGTTGGTAACGACTCTTCGCGTTGTGCCAGATGAAAGTCGACTGGCGCTGCCGCCCTTATTTCGTGGCGTCTGCGCCTTGGAGCGTGCTTTCCAAGTTCTTGAACAGTCGTTCCCTTCTGTGAATGCGTTTCTGCGAGACAATGGGCTCTTTCCCTCCGTTCCGGTCTGCGGCGTTGCCAACTCAGGCACCGCTAGGGTGGAAGCTGTTGAGAAGGTGCGCCCCGAATGCATTCATGTTGTCGCCAGCAGGCAACATTTACATATTGTGTATGTGCCAACCCCCTTTGCTAATGGGCGAGGGCAGCACGCAGAGGACGAGGCGAGGGAGAAGTTGGACGCCGTGGCACCCTTGCTGGACCCCACAACGCAGGCTGGCGTCCTCGTGTCTGTTCCCCTACAGAACTGGGGTGGCAACTACACCACCTGCTACGGAGGTTTGGGTGATGGGCGAGTGTTGCTTGAGGTGCATGCGGCCCCAGCGGAAGAAGCGGGAACAGCCGTCGACGGAACTGGAATGACGCTGTCAATGATTTTTGGGGTTTCTCCTGATGCGCCGTTTCGCGCTGCACCGCTGGCATACCGCCTCGTTGCATGCTACGAGCAGCGCGTGCTGCACCACCTGGCAAAAAGTGGAGGCAAGCTGGACGATCTGCTCCTTGCCAAATTTGGGAACGAAAATGGCGGCAGCCCCTGCGCATCCGATGCCCTGCGGCCGCTGTTTGGCTATTCCGCCTTGCTGCTTGGCGGGGATGCTGAGAACAAGTCTTGCAGTACTAACGGCGCCAAATGTATGGACGAGCTCGTGTATCATGAGGCGAGCAACTCCGTGTTTTTGAACAAAGAACGCGAGAAGAAGGAGCAGGAGGAACGGCAATGGGAGGAGGCCCTTTACCTCGCCCGAAACCTGGAGCCGCCCCACTGGCGGTTTCTGCGTGAGGCACTCGAAAAGGTGCAGCAGCAGGAAGTTGAGGAGCGTGAAAAATTAATCGCGGATGCGTGGGCGCGTTACCGGGGGGGCCACCAGCTTTCCTTTCACGGCATTGCCTTCGTTATGCTGCCGTTTCTGCGGACGCAGGAAGTGTCTATGGCGGAACTTAAGGAAACCGAACAACGTGAGTGGGAGCGACTTCTGCAGCGATTTTCGGACCGCCACCGCCGGCTTTCTGCCGAAGAAACAAGACGCCGACTGGACGAGCAGTTTGCATTTGAGCGGCGTCTACAACTGCTGCAGTGTTCCGTTGGCTTTGATGTCCTTGTGGAGCGAGAAAAGGCAATGCGTGCGATGGTAGAGCGCGATGAGGTGCTAGAGCGGCACGGCGGTGAACTGCAGGAATGCTTGCTTGCCTTGCTGATCTGCAGGCGCACGGAAGATGCTCGTCAGACGACGCCTGTGAAGGAAGAGAGCGTCCTCGTTGCCGCTGGCTGCGGGGAAAAGGGGGCGCTGACACAAACGGAGGAACGGCTTGGGCGAGCGGTGAGCCGCTCGCAGGACTCGCAGCAGCCGCGACACGCCTTGAGTCACTCCATGCAGTCACCGACAACCGAGGATTTCATGCGGATGTTGGCGCATGGCCGCCGCGGCTCCCCTGCCCTTTTGCCTCACGCAGCCACCGCGGCAACTTTAACTTTCCACGGCGTGATGCCGAGGTGACCGTGCGAGCGGGCGATGTGCGGAGGGACGAGAGGGCAAAAACAAGCAAAGAACGAAGGAAAAACGTGGAGGAGGGTTTGGTGTAGCGAAAAAGGATGCGTGGGAAGAGGACAAGGAGGGAGAGAGATGGAGGAGAGTGTGGTGGACGAGCCACATGGCCCCGGGGCGGATATCGTAGTTGTGACTAAATAACACATCTGGTGTCTCTTTTCTTTTTTTATTTGTTTTATTTGTCTGAAAGTTTGTTTATTATTATGTGTTTGTTTCCGTGCGTGTTTGTGTCTTCGTTTCGACGTCGATGGATGATTCCGCGCACTAAACCTGCTGGGAAGCGGACGCCGCCGTGCGTGGCTCACGGCACACACACACACACACACACACGAGACACTCCTTCGCCCACAGCATCGTCGTCTTTGCTTTTTTTTTCTCTTCTTTTTTTTTTGCTGCGTGGGTGCATGCGGCTGCCACCGCCCAATAAACCGCAGCCAAGGCCCTCCGCCTCACGGCACGCGAGGAGTAAAATACACACACACACACACACACAACCCCAAAAAAAAAAAGGTTCCAGCAGGATGGCGAACGGTGTAACGGCAAATTCTATGCGTGTGAGTGTCAAGGCGCCCGACTTGGGTGCGTTTCCACTCGACCACTACCGCGAGTGCAAGAACCAAATTGAGGCCTACTACAAGTGCCTGAAAAGCAACGACTACGTTGCTCCAATGTGCCGCGATCAGGTGCGGGAGTACCTGCAGTGCCGCATGGATCGCGGCTTGATGAAGTCGGCGGACCTCGACGGCTTTGGCATCCCCACGACGGAGTTTGTCCCAACTAGGCAGCATCGAATAGATTTAAAGCAGCAGTGGCTGCGGCAGAAGATGAACCAGGTGACAGTGGTATGGGAAGAAAACTACAGGAGGGACGATCTGCAGGTGCCGGACGGCTACGAGCGAGACAAGGGTGGTGGTGGTGGTGAGGATAAAAAAAACAAAGAGCCATAGTGCGAAGGCGTAGGGGAAGGAGTAAGTTTTTTGGGGGCGTCTGCGTTGTCCCTGTTTCATGTGTCGCTGGCGATGGGGGCGATATGTGAGAGGAAGAGAGAGGAAGTGAGCAGCGTCCTGTGGTAGTGTAGCGATGCTTATTTGGCGACGGTGCCTCTTTTCAGAATACTGGAGTTTACGTTCTCTGCGAGTTGAAGTACAACGCCAACGGAAACAACAGGGAAAGGGAAAAACAAGGAACAAAGCGGCTTTGTATATGTGGGGAGGGAGTAATGTTGCGCCTTTTGGGGCTCCTGCCCGTTGGCTTCGTCGATGCTGCCGCTGCCGCTTTTCTTGTGTTTTGCAGAAGAGTGGGGATCATACACGCCTCCTCAAGAGAAGCGAAATAGACAGAAAAGTAATAGCGTCCTTTTAGTGCCACTAAATATTACTCGGGAGTTCGCCCGTCTTTCTCCCTCTATTCGGGGTGTGCGCGTGCGTCTGTGCGTGCCTCATGAGCACCGAAAAGCGGCCGGTGGTCCTTGACAACGGCAGTGGGTTTTTAAAGTGTGGGTATGCCGGCGCCAACTTCCCTACTGCTGTGTTTCAGACTGCGCTTGGCCGTCCCCTGTTGCGGTCAACGAAGCACCGTAGCCAGAGTGGTACTGGCGGTGGCAACATGCACGTGGAGCCGATGATGCGAGACCTGGTCTTTGGGGACGACTGCAGTGGCGTGCGACACCTGCTTGACATGACCTACCCGATACGCAATGGCATCATTCAGGACATGGATGAAATGTGTCATCTGTGGGATTATACCTTTGAAGAACGGCTTCAGATAGACCCTGCAGAGCACCGTCTGCTCCTCTCTGAGGTGCCGCTCTTTAGCAGCAAGCATCGTTGCCATTTGTACGAAGTGATGTTTGAGAAGTATAACTTCACGGCAATCCAATCGGCTCTGCAGGGGACGCTCTCCCTCTTCTCTAATGGCCTACAAACAGGTGTTGCGGTGGAAAGTGGCGAGGGCATTTCGCATTGCACGCCCATCTTTGAAGGCTACGCCCTGCCGAGGGCGAATCGTCGCGTTGATCTTGGCGGGCGCAACATTACAGAGTTTCTCATTCGACTTATGCAGCGGCGCGGGTACAGTTTTAACCAGAGCAGTGACTACGAGACGGTGAGACGCATGAAGGAGCGCTTCTGCTACGCGGCGGTAGATACTCAGCTCGAAAAGCAGCTTGCTCTTGAGACAACGGTGCTAGAGCAGAACTTTCTACTGCCAGATGGCTCTTCCTGCAGTATTGGACAAGAGCGTTTTGAGGCGACGGAGGCGTTGTTTCAGCCCCACTTGGTAGACATCGAGTGTGATGGGCTATCGACGCAGCTGTGGAACTGTATACAGGCTGCCGACATCGACGTGCGGGCGCAGTTGTACAGCCACGTTGTGCTCTCTGGTGGTTCGACGATGTTTCCAGGCCTCCCGACGCGCATTGAGAAGGACATGCGAGCCTTTTTTTTGGAGAAGGCGCTGAAGGGCAACCGGTCACGTCTTGGCCACTTTAAGCTGCAAGTGGAGGACCCGCCGCGGCGGAAGCACATGGTGTTTCTTGGCGGAGCCACCTTGGCGGCGTTGTCGGTGGGGCAGCCGGAGATGTGGTTGACTCGGGCGGAGTGGCAAGAAGGAGGTGCGTCGGCACTGCGGGCCCGCTTTGGTGCCTAGGGCGAGAGCACTGAGGACGCGAGCAGACATGCGTGCAGTGCATGCATCTGGAAGGAGGGAAGGAAGAATATCGTGGTATGTGGTGGGCGTGTGTCGCAGTGCCGTCTGTCTCGTCGAGGTCTACAGAATGCTTGGGGTGGAGTTTACTACGGGGCCCGATGAGAAGTGACAGAACGGGGGAGCGCAGGGATGAAGCGAAGGAAAGTAAAAAAAAAAACGCCTGACTGTGTGCAAAAACTAGCGCTATTTGCGGCTACTCTCCTAAACTGCATGCATACATTTAGCTTCCCGCTTGGACGCCGATATCTGTTTGTTTGCTTGCTTCAAGTCCAGCATATGTTGCCGCCCTTACTATTCCTCCTCGCCGCTTACAAAAGAGAGTCGTGTGAAGTAACAGGGGAAGGCAACAGCCGTGGAGCTATCTCTCCCTTTCTCTCTCTCTCTCTCTCTCTCACACACACACACACACAGGTGCAAGCACACAGCTGCAGTAACAGGGGGGAGGAAGTACATACGTTGACAAGATGGGAAGAAAGAAGAGTGTGGCCAGTCATGCCATTAAGAGTATCCTCATGAAGGAGAAGAACCTAGCACAGAAGAAGAAGCGGGAGATGGAGGGCTACCACGACACACCAGAGCCGGTGCTTTCGCAAGTAAAGGATGAGGCTGCTGTGCGATTCCAACGTAATCAACTCACTGTCGCCGCCCCAATGCAGACAAATATGTTTCTTACCTTTAATAAGAGTCTCGGGCCGCCGTTTCACATCTGGTTAGACACCAACTTTATCAACTTTTCAATGCAGAATAAGATTGAGATTGTAGAGGGACTTATGGACTGTATGCTCGCGAAGGTTATTCCTTGCGTGTGCGACTGTGTCATGGCGGAGCTGGAGAAACTCGGAAAGAAGTTTCGCATTGCGCTTAAAATTGCACGCGATAAACGATTTCGGCGCTTGACGTGTGAAGGCAAGTATGCCGACGACTGCGTTGTGCGGACGGTGACGAAGCATCCCATCTACATTGTGGCAACCTGCGACCAGGAGCTGAAGCGACGACTGCGTAAGATACCTGGCGTGCCCATCATGTACATCTCAAAGCACCGCTACACTATTGAGCGGCTGCCGGAGGTGTACGGTGCCCCCGGATGAGTAAGGCAGAGGCGCTCAGGGATGCGCCTAGACGGTATTAAGGTTGGATGAGAGTATTCGAATAAAAGCGCCTGCTGAGGGGCTGTCCAGGTGCAAAATATATATATATATATATATATATGTTGGGAGGTAGGAGGGGAAAGTGATAAAGGTACTGCTGGCTCTTGCCTCCTTCCTTCATTTGTTGTTCCTTTTTTCTGTGTGTGTGAGAGAGAAGGTGCTCGCGGCTGTTGGAGTGGAAAGTGTTGCTCTAAGAGGCATTAGTGCGAAGCCTCAAGAAAGACGCATTGATCCAGCTCTGTGCCCATGTTCGAATTGTTTGCTGGCGTGTTTCTGCCCTGTCCGCCTTGTTTCCGTGTAGGGTAAAATGAAATCAATGCTGAGGAAAACGTGGAAGATGCGTTGTTCACCAGCTGCTGCGACGCGCCGGTGTCTAGCGACAGTTGCCGCGCGGTATTCTCTGCCGGGTGCGTCGTCCGCGGCGTCCGCGGCAGCGCTGCCGTTCTGCGCGGGGCTCCCCCTGCGGCAGCAGTGGCGGCATCGTAGCTTTTGCTTTTACCTCAACTTGGACGACCCTGCCGAGACGCGCCGGCGTGTCGAGGAGGAACTTGCCCGCATCGACCAGGAGCACCAGCGCGGGACGATGGTGCACCTCCACGCGCTCCTCAACCTTGCGCTTAGTTGCTACCAGTCGCAGGATTACGTCGCCGCCCTCGAGTACGCGGAGTACGCCCACAGCAAGACGAGAGAGCACAACAGGAACGCAACGCTTCTCTACTTCACCGCCAAGACGTGCTCTCGCTGCGCCGTGGCTCTCGCGGAGGAGTACGAGGCCCACCTGCGGGAGGTGGCGGAGAGGGCGGCTGTGTCCTCAACGTTGGTGCCACCGCCCTCGGTGGTGTTCTCGGCGGAGCGGAGCATTGCGAAGCTGCGCGAGGATGCGGCGCGCTACGACGGCATCGCAGAGCGTCTGTACAACCGCCCTGACAAGGCCTTTATGCGCGGCTGTGGATCCGCGTCTACCGGGTGGACGGAGGATGCGGGCGGGATGGATGAGGAGCCGGAGGAATTTTTTGGGGCGCGATGGAGGGAGCGCCGCAAGCGGCCAGAACACGCTGCGATACGCCAGCACTATCAACACCAGCGACAGCAACGCGGTGATGGGGGCGGAAGGGGTGTGCCGAAGTGAAACGCAGAGGCTGGGAGGAAAGTGTGCTTTTGTTCTTGTCGTTTGTGAGCGCTCCACTCGCAACCAAGGACCTGCCGCCCTTCCTGTATGCCACTTTGTTTTTGTCTCTTGCCTTCTCCCTCCCGCCCCTTTTTTTTTTACATGCGTGTGCTTTTGGGCGCGAGCAGGTAGCCTCCGCTGTGTCTGTGGAGCGGCACATGTTTTGCGGCCGGGGTGGTGGGGTGGACCAACAACACGCATTGCTAAGATACATTTCTGCCTCAGCGCTGGTGAGATAATTCGCCTAAAGTCAAGCGCAGAAAATAAGAATAATAATAATAATAAACAAAGGGGAAGTACGGGGATAAGTTTGGAAGAAGCATATGTCCCACACACTCGTCTTTGCCGGCGGTAACGCGGAGAGGCCTGACGGTGGCTCCGCAGCTGACAGCCAGAGTAGCGGCGCGGCGCGGCAGGGAGAAACGCGGCGTGATCATGCTTTGGCTTCCCACGTGTGCTCCAGGCAGGCCACCCTCCAGAAAGCGGGCACCGCGGGAAAAATATGTTTTGCCGTCCTCGACGTCTCGGATGACCGCCGCTACAAGGTCTTTCTGCGCCCCGACGATATTTCGAGGCTGAAGGTCTCCAAGCTCCGCAAGACGCTCAGCAGCGCCTCAGGAAGACCGCCCTCCTCGTTTGTTCTTTGGGTTGGAGACGCGCCGGTGGTTGGCAACGAAGATGCCACTTGTGCCGCGCTGGGCATCACGCCACAGACGGTGCTGCGCATGTGCCCACCCGAAGCGGCGCTGCCGCGACCCACCGAGGCCGAAACGAGAGCCGCGTCCGACGGCACGAGAGGGGCGAAGGAGGCTGCCAGCGCCACGGAAACCTCGGTGTCACGCGTAGAAAAAGCTCTGCGAGAGATGTCGGAAAATGTGGTGGAATCTCCGTCGTTGCTGGCCCTTAACCAGCGGCAGCGAGAACTGCAAGCTCGGCTGTACGAGGAGGCAAAACGACGCCACGTCTTTGCTACAGACGACGCGGTGTGCGGAGGGGGCAGGGGTGGAGAGGACAACAACGACACGCGGGCCCCATTGCTCCCTACTCGGGCAGGACAGGCGTCATGCCCGTGCAACACGGCGCCTGCTGGGATTCAAGAAGAACGCACCTTCTCAGACGAAGGCTTTGTAGTATTTATGAACGAACTTCTCAATCCGGGGGCGCCGCAGCAAGGCGGCTCCCCCCCGCCAGTGACCTCCGAGGAGTGCTGCCGGAAGATGCCTGACGAACGCCAACCACCCGCGGCGGCAGCGGCAGCTCCCCAGCATACAACCCGCCTCACTAGTAGCATTTCGTGTTTAGAGACAGTTTTGCATGATGGGCGACTTGACGGCATGTATTCCCGAGAAGTTCCCGCTGCCTCTGCCTCTGTCCCCGTTGCCTCTTCTTCGTCGGAACGGACAAAGTGGGGTGATAAAAATAAGGGGACAAACGAGGCGTCGCCAGGCAAGACGGGGGCGGCAGCACCTACTTATCCCGCGATGCAAGGGGCGGAGTTAGAGGTCATGCAGGTAGTGGAGGAGCTGAAGGATGACGTGAATAACCTCCTTGCCCTCCAGGTGCGAAACGAGACCACCAAACGCGCCCTTCAGCGGGAGCTTTCCTCCTCACAGAGGCTTGTAAAGCAGCTGGAGAAGAAAGCGGAGGAGACACGCCAGCAGCTTGATGTCTTTCTGCTGCAGCTCCGTGACGCCCACGCCACGAACGGAGTTGAAGCGTTTTCCGAGGCGGAGCTTCGCGTGGCACTGCGCAACATGGCGGCCTCGCATCAGAATAAACTCCTCCAGCGAGAAAATGCCGCACTTGAGCAACGGCTTGCACAGGAGGTAGGCAAGCGCCGTGAGATGGTCTTCGCGTTGGAGGAGATGAAAGGGCACATTCGTGTGTTAGTGCGAGTGAGACCACCATTTCGCCTTTTGCGCGCGCAGAGGTCTGAGATGGAGGAAACCAAAACCTTCTCTGGCAAGAGTAGCCTGGACGAGGCACGCGTGACGGCGGACGAGGGGCAAAACACGATTGCTATCGCGGATGCCCGCACGGGTTCGAGGCATTTCAGCTTTTACCGCGTCTTCTCGGAAAATTCCACGCAGGCAGAGGTGTTTGGCGAGGTCGCGCCACTCGTGCAACTTGCGTGCGATGGGGTCAATGTCTCCGTGCTGGCGTATGGACAGACTGGGAGCGGCAAGACGTACACGATATTGGGCGGTGAGGGGCAGCAGCCCACCGCGGCGTTGGCGACGACGGACGATTCAGTTGGCGAAACCGACAAGCACGCGGATGATGATGGTATTGTCCCGCGCGCCCTGCGCATGCTCTTTCAACACCTGCGCGTGGAAGCGGCGACGGAGGCGGCCATCGTGCCGCACGAGAATGACAGGTACCACGACGAAGTCGGCGCCGCCTCCATGTATGAGGTTTCCTGTAGCCTACTCGAATTGTACAACGACAAGGTGCAAGATTTACTTGCGCCCCCGCAAGTCGTCGTCCCCGCCTTTCATTTCGGCAGTAGCAACGCCTCCGAGCAACGTGGGCCAGCACAGGTGACCCCACGGTGTGCACTGAAGATTGGAGCTGATGGCCGCATGTATGTGGTGGGTCTTACACAACACGTGGTGCGCGAGGCACGGGAGGCGCTGCTGCTGCTTCGTGAAGGCGCCTCTCGACGTCAGGTGCACGCCACCCAGCAGAACCCTTCCTCAAGCCGGTCCCATCTTATTTTCACCGTTTACCTCACTCAGAAACGTCGCACTATTGTGCGGAAAGACACTGCCTCTAACCGTGCCTCGTCTATTGCCTTCAAGCAACTGGAAAGCAAATTGGTTTTTGTGGACTTGGCAGGGTCGGAGCGGATTGCAAAGTCACAGAGCGTGGGGGACCGCCTGTTGGAGGCGCGGTATATCAACAAGAGCCTGGCGGCGCTGGGCGATGTCGTGGCGACGCTCTCCAACGCGGCCACGGCGAACACCACAGCCGCACATGTTCCTTACCGAAACAGCGCCCTCACTTCACTCTTGCAGGATGTGATTGGAAACCGCAGCAAGACGCTGCTTCTCGCTTGCGTGGGCCCAAGCGACCCGCCGTACGAGAATCACACGGCCGAGACCGTAACCACTCTGCAGTTCGCCAGCCGAGTGCGGTGCGTGCGAAACGTTGCACCACCATTTCCATCCACAGGGGCAACTGGGGGCGGTGCGCCTTCCAGAGGCTCTGGGATGCCGAATGTGGAGCTGGATGTGAGTCACCCACGCACCGCGTCTTCCTCAGGACGAGGTGCGACGAAGCTTTGGATGCGGCCGACGCAGTCGTCGAGGCAAAGGGCCGGTGCTGTGGTTCGTCCCAGTGCCGTCGCAACGAACGAGGCAGACTGTGACGAAGAAGATACTTGCACACAACCGCCTGCACCGCTGCAGCCGCTGCGGGGTAACGATCCTCACGCCGAACAGCTGCCAAGAATGCGGTTTTAGTTTTCTGCGCCGCCATCGGTGCGGAGCAAAGGCGTGAGTGGGCGAGAAGTACGGAATGCGCTGGGGTCGAAGTCGATGAAAAGGATCATGGCTTTAACGCAGAACCAAAAGTTATGGTTGTTGTCGTTGTTTCCTTGGGGATGGTGGGTTTCAGTGTGTAGTTTATGAGTGTATGGAAGATGCATATCTGTCGTCGTCGTCTTCCTGGCTTTCACATGGCTCTCCTGTGGATTGTGTATGAGCTGACAGGCCTAGAAAGTGGCAGTATTAGTGGCGTTGGTGGTGATGGAGTGCTCGCCGCTCATTGACATTAACCGCTGCCACACCCATCCATGTATTTTTGCTTACTACTCGTTCGTTTTTTTTTCTTGTGTATGTGCGCTTTTGGGTGATTATCAGTGTTTGTTTGCTTCATCTTCCTTTTTGCTTTCTCTCTCTTTCTCTGAAGGTGTGGGCGGGAGGTGGTCTGGGTGCGCGCGAAGGCATAAAGGAGGGAGGGGGAGATGCTGCGGTGTGCGTCGCGCATCTGCCGCGCCGCCTCCCTGTTGGGTTACCCGCTACGCCGGGCGGCCGCGATGGAGATGCTGTACGGCGGCGTGTGTGTGCTGCACCTCGCACAGAAGCCTTTCTCCCTTCGGAAGACGCGGTCGGAGGCGCTTCCATCCCCGTCGCTTCAGCGCGAGCGGGACGACCTGGAGCTGGAGGTGAAGGACTCCACCAACAATGTGATGGGCTTCCGACTTTTCCCCGTTAACATTGGGGTGCGGTCAAGGAACGAGGCGGTGCGGCTGCGCAGCGAGGACTGCTACAAGCGAGTGCTGGCGCAGCGGCAGTGCGCGGCGGCGGGGGAGGCGTTGCGGTTTCCTCTCCCTTCCAGCCTTGCCTCTGGAGAGCGCCACAACTCCACCGTGCCTAAGCAGCGTTACGCAACGCACTTTCATCCACCGTCTGCCAAACTTTCTCTTTTTACACGGCCCGTTGACTCTGGGGACTGTGTGGAGAAGACAACACCAGCCGAGGTCGCACTCTACCACCCTCGCGCCTGGAGGCCCTTGCAGATGCTAAAGCCGATGCCGCACAACTGGAGTCCTACGCTGCGTTCCTCTGGGGTGCGTGGACCGCACATGCAGCTTATGCAAGAGCGACTAGACGGAAAGGGATTTGGATGGAAACGCAAATCCCGCTCGCTGTGGCAGCAGGACATTAATACCGCCGGATTCAGGCCGAAGCGCTTCTTTTAGAAGTCGTAAAAAGAAGCGGGAATTGTGTGAAGTAGAGCTTTATGCCAATGTTCGAGGTGGCTTCTTCGCAAGGGAACCATATTGGAATTGCATGTTTGCAGAATGGGGACGTGCTGCTTTATTGCTGCTGTTTTCTGTTTCGCTGCTTATTTCACAGCATGCTTCCTTTCGCAATTCTATGGATATGTGCGTGTCTGACTTTTTTTTCTCTTCTTGTTGTTCTTGTTGGGGAGGCGATGGCTGTTAGCCGCGCCTTTCTTCCGCTGCTTCTGCTGAGGGTGTGCTGCCGTGCCCCAATCCACTCCTTCGTTCCTTCTTTATTTGCCCCTCTTTTTTCTTTTCTTTTTCGATTTCGTGTTGTCCTACGTCTTCAGTGCTCACGACTATTAGCCGTCCTACACCCGTTTTTTTTTTGCACGAAAAGCGCACAAGGGCCTTGATCCTCTTTCTCCACGCACACTCGCAGCTGAAACCAGAGTCGTTTGTTTTGCGGGAAGCAAGAGGCAGGAGGGGAGAGGAGACATCGTTATCGGAGGATTATTTTGCTGTTTTTTTCATTCTTTCCTTTTTCTCCGGCCCCCGTCTGTCTTTCCCGCTGTGATTGGTGGGCATACCGCGGGTTCGTCATTGAGCCGCGTCTTAGATTTGACTTTGCTGCCTCGCCCGTTGCACGCCGCGTTGGCCCGCCGTCCTGCCACTGGTCCAGTCATCTTCCACGAGCGTGAGGAAGCGCGGCGGACGGTGAAGCGGAAGACCACCAACAAACGTTAAGGCCAACAGTAGCAGCCACTTTTTTTTTTCTTATTCGCTCGTCAGCGCGCATTCCGGGAGAGCGGAAGGAGGAAATTTAAAAAGAGGAAGAGTGAGAGAAAACGCGCAGGAGCAATGAACGGCAACCTGTTCTACACGCAAACACAGCCGGAGTACACACGCTACGGCTTACAGCAGTCCCCCGCGGGCTCGGGTTTTTTGGTTTCAGCGGGTCAAATTGCCGCGGCGGGCCCCGGACCCACAAGCCTTTTCTCTGCTTTTTGTTTGCCGTCCGGCGCGCAGCAGCAAAAGAAGCAGACTCCTGAAGGCAGTACGGCGTCCTCGAGTGGCCCGTTGCTTTCAGCTCCAGCCGAAACAACGGATGGTGGAAGCAACACCACAACACCCTTTTTCGGGGCAATGCATGACACTTCAAATTCAATCTGGGCAACGCAGGGCCCAACTTCCTCAAAGGCGACATCCCTTCCAAGCCTGAGCGCCGGCAGCCCGGTGAACTACCCTTCCTTGGGCATTAATTGTATGCTTCCACCATACAATCCGCCTGTGGCTGCCCCAGAGCCCTCTAACCAAACATTCGTGTACCCTGTTCCTATGAAGTCAGAGGAGAATGGCCAGACCTTTATGCTGTTACCGTCTCGCAACAAGGATGAGTCCGACTCCGTGGGTCCTGCTTACTATCTTTTGGTGAACTCTCCTCAGACATCTGGGACGCTCCGATACACAAGCGGCACGATGCAACCCTCTCAGTCCCATCCCATTATTTTTGGGACCGATGCATCGGCGGTGCCGAAGAACTCACTCAACGCGCCACACCAGCCTTCACCATACCAGCTGCCCACAGAGCAACAACCTCCACCCATTGCTGGCAACTTTGGAATTCCGTGGGCGCCGCACTTTACCTCCAACGTGGCTGCAGCGACAACAGGGGTGTATCCCAGGATATCTGAAGATCCAAAACTGCCACAGGGGGATACCGCAGCCTTTGCTGCGCATGGTCAGCAGCGAGCCTACTACACGAACGCGGTCCGCCCTCCGTCACTGAGTTCCACGCCATCCCCAAGCCAAAGTGGGCATCGACGTCCCCCGAATGGCTGCGCGCGTGGCGACAATGGCACGATGCAGAGCCGCGGCAGCAGAAACAGTGGCAACCACGTTAATGGTGTCACCTCTGGCGGCAGTGGGGGTCAAGAGATGGAGCGTCAGGGCGGATTGCCGTATGACGAGGATCCTACACCTATTGATACCACCAAAACGCAACTTATCGTGAATTTTTTGCCTCAGTTTTTGACTGATGAGGGATTCCGTGACCTGTTTACCCCCTATGGCGAGATCCACACGAAGCCAACGAAAATTATCTACGATCGGGGGGCCCGACGGGGCAAAGGATACGGCTTCGTGTACTACAAAGATGGACGCAGCACGGAGGCCGCCATCAAGTCCGTGAACGGGTTGGCGTTGGGTGGTCGTAGGCTGAAGGTTCGCTACGCCGATCAGCAGCGAAGAAAGGTTGATTGCGACAGCTGCACCGGCGATGACGAACCAAGAGAAGAGGAAAAAGAGGAGCCCCATGAGGATGCTGGGGCGCAACAAAAGAAGCCCAACAGCCACAGTGGTGTTCCATAAAGACCGGTGGTGGGAAGCCTACAACGTCTCTGGATCGGTCTGACCAAAGCGTCACCTTTGGGTGCGGGGCGGCGGTAACCGAGTCCGTCAGCTGAGTGTGACTGGTGTAAGGAGGGAGGAACCCAAAAACAAAGCAAAACACGCACATACATCAACTCGAGAAAAAAGTGTTATATCTAACTCCCCCC